AATCCAAAATTCAACAGTTTTCCTTAGAATGTCCTTCAGAATTTTTTTGCAGTTCTCGTTTATATTCCTTTTACTATACTTTCTTACCATTTTACAAGTTATTTTATAATTTTCATTATCAAATTCATGGTGTGATAAGGGATAAGTCTTCTCGAATATCAGTCTGCCCAGTGGAAGCGATAAACCTATCGCCACCAATTTGCAAAATCATGAAAAAATGATTAACGCATTGTTTGGTATCAAATTGTCGTATAAAATTGGAGGTATGATTTGGTTTTTAGAAATGACTTTCTTGTGATAAGAAGGATTCTTGTTGAAAAGTCCTCTTCTTATTCTTGTCTTATTTGTCTCTTATCATTTATTTTCACTTTTTTTCCGATAACGAAATATCTAAATTCTCGAAATACGCTAACTCTCATTTTCTCCAGAAGGATGGGTTAGTGTTCGCGTTACTGGTTGAAGCAGTTAAGTGCAAAAAGTTAACTGATATTTTTTATTGACGCTGTAAAGAAAAAAATCGTAGGAGTAAGAGATATGCCATAATTCATAATCCATAATTAACCATCTCAGCGAAATTTATGGAGCACAATCGTCCTCATCGTGCGCTACTATGATGTCGAAAATAACAGAAGACACAAAAAATCAGAATTTGAGCACCAGAGACCTCTTCTGCACTCACAACTGTGCAACTACTTTTCCTCACTCATCGCACATTTTATATCATCGAAATATTAGTGCTATAAAATCAAACTTGCAAAAATGAATTCTATGGATAATGGGCAGAACTTTTAAAAAGGTATCAATCTTTTATCAAAAAGACATTATCAAAAAATGCCTCAAAAATCTCAAAAAATGCTCAATTACTTGGTTGATCCACAATTATTTCAATGAAGTTCAATGTCCAATGTTACACATTGAACTCATCCTCGAGAAGCATTTGATCGCTCAATGGCTTAGAACCACGGAAATGAACTGGCAGTGGCAATAATAATACAATAACCATGTAAGTTATAAAATATATTTTATGAAATTATTAGCGCAATAAACCAGAAAGAATATAAAAGTGGAGAGAAACATTGCTGAAATTCTCATTGATAATAGCTTAATGAACTATAATTATTAAATTAAATATTTCACTGACAGAAACAAAATATACAAAATTTGTCAACTTTATCAATTGTGACCCTCGGCCCAAATTTATGATTGGGCGCAGTCTTTTTGGTGCTTAGCGCGGTAATATTCTTTAATGAGTTCAACAAGATGTCATTTTGGGGTCAGTTAGCACATTGTTTAAATCACGTGTAACACGTCTTCGTTTTTCTATGCGGTTTTATTTTAAAGGTTATCTAATAACCGACCAGTGGTGAATGGCCCTCTAAAATGGGGATTAAAAATGCTTTGTCCTTTTTGAATTTTTTTGTGGTTTTCTCTTTCTTTACTGCACCGTTTTAACTGTACTGAATTTAAGCTTTAATTTATATCGAACGGATTTCAAGCGTACTTTTAATTGGGAAGAAACCTTTCTATCCAAGTTTGTCCGAAAATACCGAGGAATGAAGGAAATTGTTGGACCAATGCGTTCGAGGTGCGCAGTTTTATTTGCAACAAATTTTTATTTGAAATTACAAATAAATAAAATTGAGATTATTATTTCGTAAAGTTTTTCTACATTCAATTTATATGTTTCCATTTTGGATTTTCTTATTTTCGCCAGAAAACCTTTGCACATTCAAGGTTTTAGGCTTTAAATATAACATAAAGGTTGTTTCTCTGATATAAAAAATCGCTTTTTCAGTTGCCAATATAAATCCATACCAATAATTAAGCTGAAGAAAGTGAACGGCAGATATATCATCGTAAATAGGAGAGAATATCTGCTAGAAAATGAGGAATTTCGTGAAAATAAGGTATGTGCGATTATATCATTTAGGCCGATATGTGTCTGTCCTTATCAGTTTTGATAATAAAGTATTTTAAAGCAGCTGCAGAAAGCGCCAATGGGGGAAAAGTTGACGAGCCACGATTCAGGTGAAACTAAGAAAAAGTGGGATATCGAAAAATTTAGAGAGTTTGTTGCTCGAATAGCTAACCAACGTCGAGCATTAGTGGAAAAGCAGAAAATTCTCGTCAACACGACGAACCTGCGCAAATGTCAGAACAGGAAAGGAGCGCAATTTCGCCGAATCCAAAAAATTGCCTCCGAAAGTAATTTTTCCTTTTTCAAAAAGATTTTCTTTATTTTACTTTAATCGAGGAGCAAAAAAGATATTTAACCTTTAAAATTGCCAAATATCGTTTTTTAGAAGCGAAAATATTCTTTGCTGCGATTAAAAGTGGCAAAGTCACATCTGATGGAAAAAGAACATGCAACCCCATTGCACCATTCACCAACATGCGAGGACCGAACGTGAACGATTACCATTCCTCTAAACCAGTGAATTTGAGATTGTGATTACCTCTTCGATTTTTGCGAAACATCACGAAACATTATATCCTATA